CCTTGTTGTAGAGCTTATCAACTTCTGCTCTAACTATGGAAACAGCTTCATAGGCTGGATTTTTCATCAACTCCTTCATTTTCTTGTCTTTGCTCGCAGGATCCTCCAAAAGGATAACCTTTGACATGTCTTTTACACCAGCCATGTGAAGGCATTCATTGTTGTCCTTCTCTTTTCCTTGGAACAATAGCCTCTGCACTTTAGGCTCCAGCCCACTTTTATGCCAAACAACTTCCTTCAGTTCCCCTTCATTATTGTATTATTACATTCCACAATTATGCCTCAAAACCCCAACAACTGCCCAAACCAAATCTCATGAAAACCTACTAACCGTAGTTTCTAACATATATAGGCAACAGTCAATGGTTTTCAATATTGCTGCTAAGGATAAACCAACTATATTCATTGCTTAATCCAAGAATGATAGTCATAATTAACTATAAATAATTAAACTTGGCCTAACTACACCACAAAAACAAGATTATATAATGGCCCAAATTCCAGAAGGTATGAATTAATGAATTACCGAAAGTAGATTGAGCTGGGATAGTGACATCGTGGTAACAAGAATCAAAAGACAGCTTGATTTTGATGATCGGACCAACCCCAGTAGTAGTTGCATCTGACGGCGCAGAATTAACGGGTGATGATGAATCCCCACAACTACTTCTCCTCTGGACCAGCAGGCCACCAGGTCTCACCTCCCAATCTATGACACTTCTCTCATTCTTAGTCTCCACACTCCTACTTTTTGAAGAAGAAGAAAACTTTCTCATTGCTATAAAAATGGTGGAGGGTGGGACGTTTGATTCAGAAAGGTGAGGGGTTAATTTAATGTAATGGTGAAGAAGAAGAAGACGAAGAAAGAGAGAGAAAGGTTGAGGTTTGAACAGAGTTTGATGGGATATCAGTGTGGAAAGTGACTTCTCAACTGTCCATTGGGAGCTGGGACTCCTATTGTATGTTGGATACTAATTAGTAGAACATAAAAGCCATTGGTAACTTTTATTTTTTTTTTTGGAGATTTTTTCCTTCTGCATGAGAAGCCCAAATATTATTTTCCTATTATAAACTTACCAGTTAAGATTGGTGGGATGAAATTAACTATTACAAATTATTACTGGACTATAAAAAATACATTTTTAATATATTAAAATTACATTATTTTTATAATCAATATACATTATACAAAATAATGTTTTTTTTTTCTAAAAACAAGGTAGATTTTTAATATACTAAAAGTACTTTATTTATGTATTGAATGTACATTATTTGATAGTATATAAAATTGCTGCGGCAAATTCTACCTAAGTATTCGTATGGTAATGTGTGAGGTAATTGAGAATAGTAGCTCGACATTGTAGTCCGAAGGTCGAAGGTTTCTGTGCTCGTAGAAGCTCTAGACAGAAAGAGTCAAAAGTCCTTTCTACCAGCGTCTCGTGGACTTTTTATAGGGAATTCGAGGGGACACATGCCGAGAGGCCGACATGTGCGCCACGTGCTCTCCATGCACTCGGTAATTTGGTCGGCTAAGGAGAAGTGTGCACGTGTAAGAATATATATGACTAACTAATTGCTCTTGGGGATCAGTTTGAATGCGAAGTATACGTGCTTTGGGTCTCAGACGAGCAAGTAGGTCAGAACCGAGCACAGAAAGGCTAAGGCATCCGCGGGGCTCGCCAACCCGGGTGGGGTGGGCTAGGGTTGCATGAACCCTAGCCCGCAAGCCTGGCGGGCCAGCCCGCAAAAGCTCGCTAGAAATTAGACCCGTGGTGGGGCGGGGCGACTTGCTTTGACAGTACTAAGTAATAGGTTGGGTTGTGCACTGATAAGTTCCAAAGATGCATGCTTTTAAGGGTCATTTAGGTGTTGTGTTGTGCTTATTTGGAGTTCTTTGTGGATGATTTATTTTGAAAATGCTTTGAAATGTGATAATGTGTTGTAAATGCCCTATAAATATGTACACTTTAGTATTTTGAAGGTTTTTGAGCTTAAATGATGGCATATGGGCTTGAACTGGCGCAACCGAGGAAGAATGCAAGGGAGAAAAGTGCCTCCGAAGATGTCACAAGTGATCCATGTTCGTGACCAGGTCGTGAATGGAAACCAGAAGATGCCACGAGTTGATTCACGTTCGTGAACTAGGGAAAGGCTGAAATCTAAGCTGCGTACACATGAGCGTACGTGCGTACGCCTGTCAGATTTCAGCTTTTCGATCCACGAACGTGAATCAAGCGTAAATATGGACCAGAAGTTGTCACGACTCGATTCACGAACGTGGATGGTTTGTGACTAGTGACCTGGGCGAAAAAAGTAGCATTTAAAAGAGGCTTGTGGCGGGATTTTCTATCAACTTTTTATTCTTCCTTTGTACGTTAGATATTTTCAGAGCTTTTAGATTATGATTTTCTCTCTCTATGTTTAGATCGTCTTCTAGTTCATTATCTCTTCAATTCTCCATCCAAGCATGAGGAATCTCAAGGATTGAAGGAAGAATTAACAACCTATTGAATCTCTCTTGATTGTTGGAGTAATCTAGTGGATTGTAGCAATTAAGCTTGGTAATCTCTTGCAGATTTCCATCTTCAATGCCATCTTACATTGTATTACTTTGCTTAATTGTGTTTCTACTGCAATCTAGACAATGCTTGACTAGAATACTCTTGTGAATTGGATCCTATTTTCTTGTGTTGTGTATGAATTGATCAAGGTAGCTGTGGCTATATGTGTGATGTCTTGGTGTAAGAGGAATTTATATTGACTCTTGTGTGTGAAGTACACCACATGCATGGAGGTTTAGGTAGGATTATGCTTGCAAGAGATTGATGCATAATCCTAGACTCCTTCCCGTCCGGAATTAGATGTAGACAACATGTTCGATGAAATGCCTCATAGGGAATGATGACACTAGCGTGCTTCCATGCCTATAATAGTCCATGTAGGCCGAGAGGAACATGGCATTGGAAGTCATCTCACATAGATTCAATCACCACATAGTTTCACTTCTAACTTTATTCATTACACACACTCAAGGGGTAGGCAATCCAATTCACCTCACATCTTCTTTGCTTACACATTTACTTTCCTTGACTTCTTGCATTTCCATACAATGTACTTTTTTAGCTTCTTATTTCGAGATTATTTCAAGACTTTTAGTCAAGTGGTAAAACCGGTCACCATTCGTGTTATTCTCACTAATGCTTTATCACAGGGATGGTTGTTACGCCGGTTGGATGTCAACAACGCCTTCTTGAATGGTACTTTGTATGAAGAATTCTATATGGAGTAGCCAACATGTTTTGTTGATCTGGTCTCGACCGGCCATGTTTGCAAATTGAAAAAGGCGATTAACGGTTTAAAGTAAGCCCCGGGGGCTTGGTACTTAGAGCTGTCTAATTTTCTTATTTCTTTTGGTTTCAAGAAGTTTGTAGTTGACTCGTCCTTGTTTATTTATTGTACTCATGGTATAGTTGTGTATGTTGATGACATCATCCTAACAGGAAGCCAATCTACTTTCATTGCTTCGTTCGTGAGGTGCCTAGCCAATGGGTTTTCGTTTAAGGACTTGGGTCCGCTACATCACTTTCTTGGTGTTGATGTTGTTCCTACGTTGGACTACTTATTCTTGTCACAGAGTTAGTATGTGATTGATATTTTGGACTAGTATGGTATGACGAGGGCGAAGGAAGTTTCAACACCAATGTCACCCTCGGTGGACTTGTGTGCTGATACTTCTCCGGCTTTTGATGCGATGGTGTATCACCAGGCTATAGGTCGGTTATAGTATTTGGTTATTACCAGACTAGAGATTTCTTTTGTAGTGAATCGTTTAGCTCAATTTATGGCGTCACCAACTAAGGTGCATTGGCAGTTTGTGAAGCGAATTCTGGTACAGTTCACTACGGTTTGCACTTTCAGGGTGGTCCTTCTGGTTCTCTTTTGGCTTATTCTGACTCGGACTGGGGAGGCCTTCATGATGGGGGTCGCTCCACGACGGCATATGTTGTGTTTTTTGGTGCTAATGTTGTCTCCTAGAGATCTGCTAAACAACGATCTGTGTCTCGGTCTTCTATGGAAGCTGAGTTTCGGGCACTTGCTAACTATGTTGCTGAGGTCATGTGGATTCAGAATTTGTTAAAAGAGCTTGGGGTTCGGTTACACCATTCACCTATGCTGGTTACTAATAATTTAAGTGTCTCGTATGTGTGCAAGAATCCAGTTTTTCGCTCCCGGATGAAACACTTGACGCTCGATTATTTTTTTGTTCTTGAGCAAGTCAGTTCAAGTTCACTACGGGTCAGGCATGTCCAGACTTCTGAACAGGTTGCTGATATCTTGACAAAGCCATTGGGCCACCGCTTATTTGTTGGGTTTCGTAACAAGATTGGTCTCACTGATGGTGCGCCAATCTTGAGGGGGCGTGTTAAGACTTAGTATATTGTTAGTAATAGTAGGCCTATTCTTTTGGTTTGGTTGTAACTAGCTTCCTCTTCCTCTGGGTTGTATTCTATTTATTCTGTTGCCTTGAGATGAATAACCATATTCCATTATGCTCTTACAATTATTACGCATGAATTAGGTTTACTTAGTGCACACATGAGAATGACTACAAGCTAGTTTTCTTCATCACTCAAAAATAGTGACGCTTATAACATAAAAATTGAGTCAACTAATTTTTCTTTGTATAAACAAGATAATGCATTTTGTTTTTCAAATGAAGAGTAATTTTTGCTATAATTGAATCTAAATTTCTTTGGTACGTGTATTATTTAATATGTTTTCTTTATAACTAGGAGTAATTTTTTATATATGTTTGTTCAAATGACAGAGCGGTATAACAGCCTTTCAAGTTTCTAGATAGGAAGTAGAGGACGGATGAAATGACAAGAATGTGAATACTAGTCTCACTTTATGGAAATTGCCTTTTCGTGGATCTTTACTCATAGTCTTTCCCTCCCATGCAACTTAATTATGATACTATAAATACCTCAATCTCCTACCCTTTTATATGAATCTCATTCGAAATGGATCGAACTACTAAAACCCATGAAAGTACTGATCAGATGTTATGTTCAAAGAGGTTAGTTCGATCTGATCTGATCGATCTCATTAAGAATTCCATCTTTTAATGTGTATAGATAACTTTTTATATATGTTTTCTTAGGTCCTTTCTGAATGGCAAAGTTGCAGTTATAACGGGGGGAGCTAGAGGAATCGGAGCTGAAACAGCAAAGCTTCTAGCCGGAAATGGCGTCGATGTAATCATCGCCGACATACTGGACGAACTGGGGGCACCGCTGGCGGAATCTATCGGCGGGCGATACGTCCACTGTGACGTTTCAAAGGAAGCCGACGTGGAATCGGCGGTGAAACTGGCACTGGAGTGGAGAGGCAAGCTGGACATCATGTTCAACAACGCCGGAATCGCCGGCCCCGGCGGCAGCATCGCGGAGATGAAAATGGAGCAGTTGGCGAGCCTGCTGGCGATAAACCTCAACGGCGTGGTTCACGGGATCAAACACGCCGCCCGGGCCATGATCGCGGGAGGGAAAGGCGGGACCATCATATGCTCGTCGAGCTCGGCGGCCATCATGGGCGGGCTGGCGTCGCACCCGTACTCGCTGTCGAAATCGGCGATCCTGGGGCTAGTGAGGAGCGCGGCGTGCGAGCTGGGGCAGCACGGGATTCGAGTGAACTGCGTTTCGCCGCACGGCGTCCCGTCGGAGATGCTTGTGAGTGCGTATCGGATGATTCTTGGGAAGACGGACGTGATGGCGGAGGAAGTGGGAAAGATTGTGGGGGAACGCGGGAGTCTTCTGCGGGGGAGAGGCGGGAGGATGGAAGATGTAGCGCAGGCGGTGTTGTTTCTGGCTAGTGAAGATTCTGGATTCGTTACGGGGCACAATCTTATATTAGATGGAGGTTATACTTCAGCTGTTAGTCAAATGAGCTTCATATACCAAGAATAAAGGAAGTACTATACATGGACCAAATAATGAATAAATTGCGATTCATTAATATTAATATCCACAATAATATCTAAAAGTCAAGAAAGGAGTTTAATACTCTTAAACACTTTCTCAAAACAGCAAAAATTTGTATGAGATTTTTTTCATGGATCTTTGTCCATTAGACTGGTCGGGTCAAGATAAATATGTAATACTAATTAGGAATAAAATATTTGTTACTTAATAGTATATCTTGGCATGCAAACCCTCATTTTATTCATGTATTATATATATATATATATATATATATATATGTATCGAACTTCTCTTATGCACTCCAATAAAGGTGACACAGTCATTGTAGATGTTTACAATAAAGGAACCGAAAATATAACCATTCACTGGTAGAGTATACTTTAATTTTTACTCCATCAAACCAACCTATTACTTTTTTAAATATATGATAAATAACGTAATTGTTGGAATTACTCATCGCCATATATGAAATATCAAGCTCTGAATATTATATAACTAACTGAGATTGATTTCTGGCAGGCATGGAGTGCAACAACTGAGATATCTATGGTCAGATGGTCCTGAGTACATAACCAGTGTCGTCCTATTTGACCAAGAACTAAGTTTATAAAAAAATAGAGCTTTCTGATGAGGAAGGCATATTATGGTGGCATGTTCATAGTGATTGGTCTCGGGCCACGGTGCACGGTGCCCTTGTTGTTTATCCCAGCAAGGGAAGCCAGTGCCCTACCTTCATATTAGGTATATATAATGTATATACCTTGCTCAGTTTTTGTTCTTGGTACATACATGTAATGGAAATATAATATGCCATTTTCAATTGATGAAATGCAGGAGAGTGGTGCAAGAGTGATATAAAACAAGTTCCATGCTCCAACTTAATCTTAATTGAGTGCTCCAAATAATTATAGGATGAGTTTACTTACATTTAAAAGGGGTCAAAACAAACTAAGTCAGTCGAACTAATCCGTCCCACCCCGCTAAAAGGACGGGACAGACTTTGAATTTTATGGCATGTATTATTGGTGGACTTTTTAGCCCACCTCGCCAAATAGCAGGCTTTGGCGGGGCCCGCCAAGCCCATCTAGTATGTATACATTTTTAATATTAGTGTATATATATACACCATATATATATATATATATATATATATATATATATATATATATATATATGTTTACTTATTTATTTATATTGAAAAAAGTGTATTAGTAAATTGTATAGATGATTTGTTATTGATCTATGGATTAACAGATTATGTATTTTATTATTTATTAGGACTTATTACTTTATTAGTTATTATTGTGTTTAGCAAATTACAATTGCATTAATATATGTTTAAACTATCCAAGTTATACCCTTTTTATTAGTTGACAAAAACTTGTGTGAGATCGTCTCATGGATCTTGTCCATTAGACGGGCCGGGTCAAGAAATGCAATACTTATACTAGCAAATGTGATACTAAATCAAGAATAAAATGTTTATTACTTATACGGAAAAATATAATATTTTTGAAGAAAAATGTAATACTTTTACATTTTGATGTAAAAGTATTACATTTTTAATCAAAAGTATTACATTTTTTCTTTATAAGTGCAACATTACTTATAAGGGAAAATATAATACTTTTGATAAAAAAAAAAAAAAGTAATACTTTTACATGAAAATATAAAAGTATTAGGTTTGTCCTCAAAAGTATCACGTTTTCCCTTAACCGCATGTTTGGTTCGCGGAATAGACCTGGAATGGAGTAGCATTTTTGAGAATAGGTCTATTCATTTGTTTGGTAATGATTTTTATTCCCAAGAACAATGAATGAGCTATTACCCTTGCAAGTGCTTACCATTAGATCAAAAGCTATAATTAGTAGTGAAGGCCAACTTTCCATATATTTTTGGGACACTGGGTGTTGGACTTTTTGGTTTGGCCTCCGCCCAATAATCCCCCGTCACCGGGTGCTATACTTGGCCTCTACTGACCTCTTCCGAAAATTATTATTATTGAGTTAATACCCAAAATCGTCCTCGACTATAGTGGTTTTTCTCAATTTCGTCCTAAACGACTTTGGTGACCTAATATCGTCCCAGACTTTTGTGTTTTGCTCAATTTAGTCCTCCATTTGTTATTCCGTCAAATTGGTGTTAAATTAAGGGACAATTCAGTAATGTCAATATTGATCTCTCTTTACTTTCAACTTGTGAAATGCGAAATTCCTCTTTCTTGTACGAATTACACCCAGAATTACTCCTGGACCTGCAAATCAAATTTTATATTCGCAGTTTTAGGAGTAATTCGTAAAAAAAAAAAAAAGGGATTTCGCAATTCACATATCTATGAGTAAAGAGATGCCAATATTAAAATTACTGAATTGTCTATTTATTTAACACCAAATGGACAGAATAACAAATGAGGGACTAAATTGAGCAAAAACACAAAAGTCTAGGACTAAATTGAGCGAAACACAAAAGTCTGGGACGATATTAGGTCACCAAAGTCGTTTAGGACGAAATTGGGAAAAACCACTATAGTCGAGGACGATTTTGGGTATTAACTCTATTATTATTATTATTATTATTATTATTATTATTATTGTTGTTGTTGTTGTTGTTGTTGTTATTGTTATTGTTATTGTTATTGTTATTGTTATTGTTATTGTTATTGTTATTGTTATTGTTATTGTTATTGTTATTGTTATTGTTATTATTATTATTATTATTATTATTATTATTATTATTATTATTATTATTTTACCCGTGTGTGCAATGCACGGTATAAAAAATTTAAGCATAATATTATGGTCTCATATCAATCGTTATTTTGATTATAAAAAGTTAATCAATAATAATAGAAAAAAATAATCAAAATTATACATTATTAAAATTTCTTTGTAAGTTATTAAAAAAATTAATCAAAATTATAAATTATTAAAAAGTTTCTGACTAACCATTAATTATTTAGAAAAGATATGTATATATAACGTAACTAACCATGATTAAATACTAATTTCTTAAAAAAAAAAAAAAAAATCCAACATGGCTCACAATTTGTAAATTATTATAAATATAAAACTCAAAAATTTAATATTTTTATAAACATAAAACTAAAAAATTAGATGGAATAAACACTGTGATACCAATTTCCAGAATATTTAATATTGCTATATATTTTGTTGTGGTCTAAATGGTTGATAGAGCCTCGAGTATTAAACACCGTGATACCAATTTCTAGCATTATTTTTCATGTTAAATTTTGGTTGTGTCATTACCTGCAAGTTCATATAAGACTGCTACCAAAATTTTTTTTTTAAAATTTTTTTTTAATCTAGCATGTTATGGAAAAGCTTATAAAAAATATAAGAAATTTGAAATTTTATAAAGGCAATCTGTTCTATATGCCTTAAATATTATATAAATTTTGATTTCTATAAATGTTAGAGTCATGCTAATGCAATTGTATTTGATATTCAATGTAGACTTGGTGTTCTCAAAGCTTAATTTTTACTCGAAGAATATGAGATCCAATACTGTTAAGTCCTAATATTTTTCTTGATGATTTCAGGTGTGAATGACATGGGTATTGCTTGGTATGCTGTTGAAATCCTTCAAAAAAGTTCAGTTTTTCTGAGCATGTTTGTCCATACTATTTCCAGCCCCATTGACCCCTCTCTCCCTCCACCAAAATAAATGAGAAACACAAATAAATATTTAATAAACAAAAATTGAAAAGGGAAAAAACCTCCAAAATTTTGAGCGGAAATTTTGTTGGCAAAAGATTTGACTTTTTTTATGTATAGGATAGGTTAGGATTATATTAATGTTGTTTTTGTTGTTCGATCATTAATTAACAAGAGTATGGTTTATGCATTGTCATTTTGAACATGTAAATTGGGGGATGGAAATGACATTCATTGTTAAAGATAGAAAGCTATCAAATGAAAGAGTAATGCCACCTCCACGGCTCCACCAGATATGCTAAAATGTTGATCGGAACAAAATTGATAATTTTTTTATTTTTATTTATACACTTATTATTTATTTCTACTGTTTTCAAAGATCGATATATAGCTGGTAAATTGTAATGCCTAAATTTTCTTCCGCAGTGTTATTTCCACATTGTATTAATTTGATGAAATAAGTTATGAAGGTGTAATGAAATAAATGGTTTCACATATATATGTATATATAATTACGTAAAACTCATTTATAACAAGTGCGTCTGTAGCTCAGTGGATAGAGCGTCTGTTTCCTAAGCAGAAAGTCGTAGGTTCGACCCCTACCTGACGCGATTACATTTTCACGCTAATCCACGAACTCCGTAAGACGTGCTGGAATCAACCCCACAAAAAATAGTGTTACAATTTATGCAGAATTTCATCACTAGGATTATCACATATATTTTTTTCCATTGATTTCTTATATTAAAAAAAATTATCACCAAGGAGTATCAAATATAGTTTCATTGACTTCTTATGTTAAGAATATTAAAATAATTCGGGCCTTTTAGGGTTGGGGTTCAGCCTTTTTGGAATAATATTAAAATAAAATAGTACTTACCTTGAAGCATGCCTAATTGTTGATTGGTGGAGAATTCAAGCGAATGATTGCATAAAATTAATTAAATGTTTAGTCCTTTTTTTTTTTGTTAAATACTCATGATTATTTACGAAGTAATATTTGTTTTATACTGTCTCAAACATTTTCAGCACAAAGAATCTAAACTCCGACCACCAGAGTTTGAACCTATGACCATCTATTTGGATGGATAACTGGGATGTCATCACACTACATGATAGTTGGCAAATGTTTAGTCTGTAGTTTGCCCTTTTATTTAAATAGAGCACAATGAAAAGTAAGAAGAGTCTTTGATTTCATGTTGAATTCTAACATAGAATCATAGATTTTTTTTAGAGATTGAGATTTTACAAATGCTAACCTTTTAAATTTATATGTTATATCATAACTTACCCTTTAAGAATTAATTGTACTAGATTATGAATACTTGATTTTTAATATTTCTCCGGTCTTCGCCTTTGCACTGCATCAGGATTTATATGCATCTTCATGCCCCGCTAATCCACTAACTACCGTTCCAAACAAACTAAACGTATAAATCATATATTAAGAATAAAGTTAAGTTCTAAACATGTATAATCTTGATTAAGTTTTATTCAATTTTCAATTTGTGACAAAAAGTTTTAATTTGGTTTCGGTTCTAAGTTTTTAACTGGTGGCAATAAGCT